TTATTATTATTATATCCACAGAGGCCGAAATCTATGTATAGGCTACATGTAGGCTACATTTATGTACATAATATTAATATGCATTATTATTCTGTGGAAATTGCCTAAGATCGACGGCCATCCATTGCTGACCAACAGCTGAAAAATTGTTACCGAGCTTGACTTAACAGTGGGAGGTAGCCTACCTTCACAACGGGATCGGTTCATTCATAGGAAGGACTGAAAAACTACAGGAAAGGATTATAATATGACTGCTTGCCCAGTGTCAGGTCCGATGTGAAGGCAACGTGTCGGGCGATGGGTGATTTGCTTGGACATTTCATAGAGCGTTTATGGCCGTACGTGTTGATCATCATCATCCAGTGCCAGATCTGCGGCAGACATCGGCGATCATGGTTCTCCATTCATTCCTTTGCTCGGGTGCTCTTAAAAAAGCTACGTTTCCCTGATCTTTCCCCGATACCCATTTGTTTCGGTTCCCTACCCTGATTGCTATGAGCTTGCCTTCAATTTTGCCAGTGAGAGCTAGATGTTCAAGGCCATAATAATATGTCTATTTAGGTGTCCCAAAAACTGTTATATAGTGTAAAGCGCATAGAGCCTGCTGTTGAGCGGGGATATGCGCTACATGTATACAAATGCTATTTATTATTTATTATTATTATTTGTCGTTTCCTGATTGTTTTTAACAGTCGCGTCCCGTGGGCTTCATCAAGCACTAGATTCTAACTTGATTTCTTTTCTTTTCACGATATTCTCATGCAATCTCACATTTCTGTTGCTTCTATTTTATTTTCGCTGTATTCTTTGATTGTTCAGCATTCCCAGCCATAATACAGCCGTGTGTATATAAAATAATAATAATAATAATAATAATAATAATAATAGTAATAATAATAAATAAACAGCATTCAAATCTAATAGCACAAATTTCTGCTCAACAGCAAAGCTCTAGGTACTTTACAATCTAGATTACCCCAATAGACCTGATAGCATTCTGAAACAATCTCAACTTCCTGGGAAGCATACAGTGAAAGCTGTCACTTTATAGATGTTAAAACATTAGCATATTGAACAAGATCTTTTGCTGTCTATGACTTGGTACCCTTTACAACCTGTGTGATGTAAGGAAAATTCAAGTAAAGTGCCTTTCCCAAGGACACAACATCACACCTGAGGCTCAAACCTCTGAACACACAACTGACAACTTCACGATTACAAGTCCAGTGGCTTAACCACTAGACCATTGACCCTCCCATTGACATCACTGAAGCCAACTTCAATCCTGTTTGTCAGGGCCAACCCAGAATGAGAGGTATATACAGTATACTAGCAGAACGACCAAGATACTCGATAAAAATGTCTTCCCTCCGGAGAATCGAACTTTGGTCTCTGACACCACAGACGCTGATATAAATATGAGACAGAGTACAGAACAAAGACTGTATCATCTCCCTATCATCCTGGCCCTTCTGTGATCTTTGAAACAAAAGGACATGGATAAATAAAGATAGAGTTAGACTAGAACATGAAGAAACAGACATTTTCTCACCTCTTTCAATGGCACTTTGAAGGCGATAAACTTTGTGCGAGGAATAACTTTTCCAACAGGGCAGTAAGCATCCCATCTGTAACACGTGAGGGAGAATGGAAAGGTCTTAATAATTAGATTATAATAATGATTGCATATTGATACTACACATATCCATGCTCTCAGCATGCTGTAAGTGCTTTAACAACTATCATTACCTAAGAAAACCCCAGAACACCAAGAAACATTCTTGACTTTCCCCGAAGCAGACAGTGCAAGCTGCAGATTACATGTGTACTAAAAATTAAGATACTAAAAAAAAACTGACAAGGTCTTTTGCTGTCTTTAGCCAGACCCATTCCCATATGGGTGAAATGAGGAAAATTTGTGTAAAGTGCCTTTCTCAAGGACAGAATGTTGGCCCCCTGGCAGGAATCGAACCTATGACCTTACAATTGACAGCCTGAGAGCCAAACCACTGGACCATCGATGCTAGCATGCACGGTAACGTTCAAGCATTATTACCCAGATTGGTGCGGTCCTTATTTCTGCTTCTTCTTCATTACGTTCCCCTGTTAGAATTGCGGGTAGTCAACTCTAAACTCTTCACAGATTTTTATGTATGTGACCATTTTTCAAACTTTGTAAGGCCCCTTGCCCTCAGGTAGTCACATTTTGATTTCGAAGGTACTTTGTAATATGAAAGTGGAGACTAAACCTTTGAGCCTTTGCCATTGGTACACTGGTGGCTGGTGGTGCGTAAAACTGCCCATAATTATGTCTAGCCACTGGTACCCTGGGTGGGATATAGGAATATGATTCTGACCATCATACGAATGTTAGTAAAATATCACTCAGTAGCTCAGGCAAGAGGGGCATGATAGCCTAGGACCTAGGAGGTCAAGGCTCAAAGGGTTAAAGCAGATGCCAGAACAGGACTAAAGAACACAAAAGGAGGTGAAAGGAAAACATTTTTCAACACAAAACTTTTTTGTCTCAGTCAGGTATTGAACCCAGGACCCTTTGAATGAGAGGCGAACATCATACCTCAGACCACAATGGACCCCAGTCCTTCTGCTGAAATTGAAATCCAGCATACCAACAGAAAGTCTAGACTTTGGAGAGACACAAAGGATAATATTCTTAACTCACAAACAATTTTCCCTCCATCATAGATCTCATCAGAATTCTTCATTTTACAAAGACCTTACAAAGCAACAAAAATACATCTTATATATATATGTGAGACAGCGTGGTGATATTAGGTGCTTGTCAAAATAATGAAAGTGAAGAAACTGGCATTTCTCTGCAGGTTTGTGAATTTTATCTCAACACCTTTCATGCCCATTAAAGAACACATTTCAGTGTGGATTTTACTGAAAAACGTGGTTTAAAGGAATAAAAGATGTACATTTTTTTGTTTCTGTGGACTCTCAAGCTAAGGAAATAGCGGAACTTTGGCGGCCATTTTCTCGCTAATTTTACCTCTGAAACCAGGCTACCCCCACCTCCTTCAACCGCCAATATCTTGACTAGTACCCAAGATAAATGGACATTTTTCCAATCAAAACAAGGCAAATAGGCAGGCTTTAAGATGAGAAATCAATAACTCCATTTGCCCTAAAATTTAAGAGCGCCTGATTCCACCGCGACGTGACACATATATATGTTTTTGTCAAAAGAATGATACAGTTATTATCTCTCTCCTGAAAAATTTTCCTTTCTGGGCCTAGCACATTTTAACAGCTTGCTGAGGAGAAAATGATGACATTCTCAATATATAACTTACCTGTCAGGTGGGGGCATGGTGGTTGTATTGAAGGTGTAGTGTCCGATCAAGTTGGCAGGGTCGGTGCGATGTAGACTTCCGCCTTTCTGCGATTGATTTCTTTTCAATTCTTTGGTCCAGCAATACCGGTACTGTAAATCATCATCATATAATTAATATGTATACAAGCGTATATTATATCCTAGCTTTACAGAGCTATAACGCTATTGTTACCCCAGCAGACCCTACAATACTCAAAAACATTCTTGGCTCCTTCCTGAGAAGCATATATATGGAGCAAGCAGCTCATTAAGCACTCAAAACACTAACAAACTGACATAATCTGCATTACTAAATACAGTCGAACTAAAGACAGCCACCCATTGTTGAGAAGAAAAGTGGCCGTCCCAGACAGCTGGCTGTCTTAGCCTTAGGCAGGACTGATCAGAAATGAAAAAAACCCCATTCCTGTCTGAAGACCCCCACTGCAGGTTGTCGCAGGCTAAGGTCTGCCATAGGGCTAATTATGGCGGTTTTTATTTTATTTTTGAAAGAGGGGGGGGGGGATAGGAGATTTTTGGGGGGGGTTTTGTGGGGGGGGGGGGTTTTATAACTGGTTTTGTGCAAAGGTAATACAAAACAAAATAGGTCATATGAAGAAGTCTGAGTGCCATGGTAAAACAAATGGGTCACCACCACGCTACAAACAAGTAGATCAGATATTTCTATCCCATATTCATTTTTACGTCCAGTTGTTACGGACTAGGTAAACACAGCAACTACGCATTTCATTTTTAAGATTTGTGTATAGTCAGTTAACGGCGGGGCTTAAATTATAGGCCAGATCACATACCATGCCTCCCACACCAATAGCTGAAAACTTGTTACTGACTGGTCAATTTGGGTAGAAAGGACCATGCAACATGATCAGTTCATTTATTCATTGAACGGAAAAGTTAACAATAACAACAGGTGAATGGATTAAATTGACTGCTCGTCCACAGCATCAGGGGCCAACATATTATGGGAGTGGCTATTCTCACCCTGGGTGAGAATAAAAATACGATCAACCTCTCACCCTAGGTGAGACTTGCTAGCATTGGCTATTCTCACCCAGTGTGAAAACAAGACCTGTTTTTCCCAATTTCTGAATACTGTCTATCAGTGTGGATGATCAAATTGTCAAATTCAAAGAAAAAAATTATCTTATAGTGCAAAGTAAACTAATTTGATTGTCTACAAAGATGCTAGGTTGTTTCACTTTTCAAATCGAGCAGAACTACGTTGGTTGCCATTTTGTTTTGCCCGGAAATTCTCGCTACTCCTTCTCTCTCTCTCCCCCCGCTCTCATCCCCCCTCTTTCTCTCACGGCCCGCAGACCAAATTGCACCCTTTCAACACAAAAGTGCTGGAACGTTTGTTTACACTGGTATCACGGTGAACGCACACCGAGTAAGAAATAGCTAAAAGCCTCGCCCTTTTACCCGAAGTGATTGGCCTGAGCCTCTGCACTAAGGGGTGAACGCACACCAGGTGAGAACCCAGAAGATTTGCCCTCTCACCGTGAGAGGCCTACAACTACGCTAGTCTCACCGTGGGTAAGAATAGAGGTGGCCATAATATAGCCTAGCATACCATTTTTTGACAAAGTATTGGACAATGAGAGATTTTCGTGGCCATCTTAGACAGGCTTTTTATACCATTGGTTCATAAAGGAAGTGGCTCTCCTCACCCGGGGTGAGAATAAAAATACGATCGACCTCTCACCCCGGGTGAGACTTTCCACCGTTGGTTATTCTCACCCGGTGTGAAACAAGACCTGTTTTTCCTAATTTTGGAATATTTTCTATCGGTGTGGATGATCAAACGGATAAAAGCAAAGGAAAAATTACGTTATAGCACAAAAGCAAGCTAATTTGATCGTCTACAAAGATGATGGCTATTTCACTTTTCTAACCGAGCCGAACTACGCGGGTCGCCATTTTGTTTTGCCCGGAAGTTCTCGCAAGATCTACTCCTCCCCTCTTCTTTGCTCTCTCTGTCTCTTTCTGATTACTGTATCGGTGCGGACGATCAAATTGACCAAAATAAAGTAAAAAAATGATGTTAAAACACAAAAGTAAATTGATTTGGTCGTCTACAAAGATGCTACAGCTATCTAACTTTTCGAATCGAGCCAAACTACGCGGGTCGCCATTTTGTTTTGCCAGGAAGTACTCGCGCTACTCCTCTCTCTCCACTGCCCACAGACAAAATTGTACGCTTTTGGGTTAACAGTAGTAATGGAACATACAAGCTCACGGCACAGAATTCTACAATTTTTCTGTAATCCCAGTGTAGAATTCTGTGGTTCAGGGTGAATGCAAAATTGGTTGGTCTACATCTAGGCTATAACGGTGAACGCACACCGGGAGAGAATAGCCAAAGACTCGCCGGTGTGAGAACAGAGGTGGCCTATAAAATATAGGATAGAGGCCTAGCTAGACCTCCTACTCTTAGCAAAGGCAGCGGCAGGGTTTTCGTTATTTTAAGCAGTGAGGAAAATTGCACGGGGCGAAAAGGGTCGAGTGACTGTATCCTACAGGTGGCCGTCATGGCAGATTCGACTGTAGACTGTAGATAGATCATAGCTCATAGATGATAGACTCTAACTCTAAACGGATATCTCCAGGCTACACTACAATACAGGCAGATGACATATGACGAGGAGGTCGGATTAAGTAGGAATTTACATTCGCTCTCAACTCTCAAAACAATAGATCTAGATTCTAGATCTAGATCTAGTGGGCCTCCTATTCCTATTGACTATTGAATTGCTCGTTACGGAAGTTCAGTGTAACTGTAACGTCAACTTGATCTGTTAGACTACTGTAGATCTTCTAGATATGTTCTAGATGGAAGTGGCTATTCTCATCCGGGGTGAGAATAGAAATACGATCGACCTCTCACCCCGGGTGAGACTTGCGACCGTAGGCTATTCTCACCCGGTTTGAAACAAGACCTGTTTTTCCTAATTTCGGAATACTTTCTATCGATGTGGATGATCAAATGGATAAAGGCAAAGAAAAGATTACGTTATAGCACAAAAGTAAGCTAATCTTATCGACTACAAAGATGCTATGGCTATTTCACTTTTCGAATTGAGCCGAACAACGGAGGTCGCCATTTTGTTTTGCCCGGAAGTTCTCGCAAGATCTACTCGTCCCCTCTTCTCTCTCTCTGCCTCTTTCTGAATACTGTCTATCGGTGTGGACGATCAAATTGACCAAAACAAAGTTAAAAAATGATGTTAAAACACAAAAGTAAATTAATTTGGTTGTCTACAAAGATGCTACGGCTATTTAACTTTTCGAATCGAGCCGAACTACGCGGGTCGCCATTTTGTTTTGACCGGAAGTTCTCGCGCTACTCCTCTCTCTCTCTCTTTCAGTTTCTCTCTCTCTCCACTGCCCACAGACAAAATTGTACGCTTTTAGTAGGCTACAGTTGTAATGGAACGTTTGTTCACGGCACAGAATTCTACAATTTTTCTGTTATCACAGTGTAGAATTCTGTGGTTTAGGGTGAACGCAAAATTTGGTGAACGCGCACCGGGTGAGAATAGCCACAAGACTCGCCTGCACTATTCTCACTCCGGGTGAGAATAGAGGTGGCCTTATTATAGCCTAGATCTAGATCTAGATATAGGCCAACAAATTTTGCGTTCACCCTAAACCACAGAATTCTACACTGTGATAACAGAAAAATTGTAGAATTCTGTGCCGTGAACAAACGTTCCATTACAACTGTAGCCTACTAAAAGCGTACAATTTTGTCTGTGGGCAGTGGAGAGAGAGAGAGAAAGAGAGAGAGGAGTAGCGCGAGAATTTCCGGGCAAAACAAAATGGCGACCTGCGTAGTTCGGCTCGATTCGAAAAGTTAAATAGCCGTTGCATCTTTGTAGACAACCAAATTTATTTACTTTTGTGTTTTAACATAATTTTTTAACTTTGTTTTGGTCAATTTGATCGTCCACACCGATAGACAGTATTTAGAAAGAGACGGAGAGAGAGAGAAGAGGGGAGGAGTTGATCTTGCGAGAACTTCCGGGCGGGTGAGAATAGCCACTTTCCTATAATTACTATAAATAATAACGGTGAACGCGCACCGGGTGAGAATAGAGGTGGCCATTCTAGATCTAGATTTCTAGATCTAAATTTTAGCAAATTAAATTACCGCCTGAAGTGTGGACCGGGAATACAGACTGCTAATAAACCACATGGCTGAGAAAAAAGCGTACCCAACTTGTAAAGAGACAGGAAGAAAATAAGCACGGTGTCTGTGTTGGGCTACCAATAATTGCCAACGTTGTTGACGGACTCAATGTTACTGCAATAAGAGTAGTCTACCTTCGTTTGGTCTGAGGTCCGTTTCCGTTCACCAAAGGCGATTGCAGAGTTCATAAAAGCCTTTTGGCCAAGCGACTACCATGGCATTAAAGTTAAAGACTAGTTAGAGACCTAGGCCTATTGTTTTCTGACTGATTTTCTTAAATGTCTGTACATTACTTTAATTAATTGCTGATTTAATAAAAACTGATGATGGTGAATAATCTCACTAGATCAAATTTTAATTGCTTTCATTATGCCTTTGAACAATTTAAGTGCATATTCCAGGTAATGACGAACTCATTTTTCAAGAAATAGAAAAAAAGAACTACGAAGGCAAATGCAGTGACTTACCCTGCTCAGTCACAAGAATATCCCAACCGAAATTAAATCCAAGCTTATCAATAGCATCTTCATACCAACATTAACATACCAGTGCCAAACGTGGTCTCTAAACAAGGTACAAGAAAAAAAAAAAGCAATGCATGCGAAATGAGGAGTCTCCGCAAAACCATTAACGTCACCAGAAGAGACCGCATAAGAAACGAAACCAAAAAAACATAGGCTAAGTCTACAAACCGGAATACCACCAGTAATAACATTCACATAACGTCAAAGAGTCGATGGTTTGGACATCTAATCAGAATGTCCAAGAAACAACTACCGGCTATAGAGCTTACAATACCCGAGAATCCGGTTTTAAATCAAGAGGAAGACCAAGAACTAAAGACCTGGCTGGATGGGGTTAAAAGGGCCCTGGAACAACATACCTATCAAGGACGCTACCCACCTAGCACAGGACCGAAACTTGCACCTCCCCTCGGCATCCTAAGGATACCAGAGGAAGGAAAAAGTTGTTTTTTAAAGTATTTTTTTAAAAAGTAAGACGAACTCATAAAACGGGGAATTTTAAGACGGCGTATATTATTATTAGACGTAAAAGCAAGAACCGCCAAGGCAAGGTCAGCTTTCAAGCAAATATTTATCAAAAAAGCAACATATCACTGCACACCAAGATTCGACTCTTTAATTCCAATGTCAAGTCTGTGCTCCTCTATGGATGCGAAACTTGGAAGACAACAAAGACAGTGCTGAATAAAGTCCAGACTTTCATCAACAGATGTATGAGGAGTATCCTGGGAATTAAGAGGCAGGACAGAATAAAAAATGAAGAGCTATCGGAAAGGACAGGACAAAAGGATATAGAAGTAGAAATAGGACTAAGAAAGTGGCGTTGTATGTGACACACCTTCAGAAAGCCCAGTGGAAACATCACAAGACAGTCACTGCAATGGAACCCACAGGGAGCCCGAGGCAGGGGAAGGCCACGAGAGACATTGAGGAGATGTGTGGAAAGGGACATGAGAGCTCAGAAATGAAGCTCACTTGGAACGAGCTAGGAAAGATGGCCCAGGATAGAGATAAATGGAATAAGGAGTTTAATTGTTTGTGGCCTATACCTGCCAGGGTTGAAAGGCATTGATGATGATGATGATGATGATGATGATGATGATGATGATGATGATGATGATGATGATGATATTATTATTATTCATTATTATTAT